CATTAAGTGTAGAACCACTAGACTGAAGAACAGCTTCTACCCTGAGGCTGTTAGACTCATGAATTTCTAACCAGAATAATCACTGTGAAAAATCACATGATGTTGCTGCTGATCTGTTTCATGTTGATGTGTTCATGCAGGCTCATCTGCTCACACAGACTCATGTTCGTGCTGCTGTTCGGTGTATTGTGTGTATTGTTTTTATTTAAATTTTTAAAATTTACCATTATTTATCCAGGTAGTCTCACTGAGCTTTGAAACTCATTTTCAAGAGAGATCTGTTTTTTGGGAGCAGATGGTGGGGATTAAGGGCCTTGCTCAAGGGCCCAGGGTGGGACAAATGGGGGTGGAGGCAGGTGTGAGCGTTTCACCTTCTCCACCCACATATTTTGATATTGACGGTACCGGGAGTTGAACCTGCGCCTTTCCGAGCACATGCCCATATACTCTAACCTCTGCGCCACCACTCCCCCATGCTAATTTGCTACTAGTGCTTAGTGTATATTTAGTTGATGTTTTTCTTAGTTCATATCTTAGATGTTAATACTGTTTTTTTTTACATTTTATTGTTTGATATAACTGGGACCCTGTGTACATGATTTCTTTCCACCACATGTGATGTGAATAACAATAAAGAACCTACAATCTTTGAATCCTTAAATGAGTACAGTCCATTTACCATTCACTCACAGGAAGATTAATAGAATCTAACAGGAGTAAACTATATCAGTGAAAAAGCAGAACAAAAAAGACACTAAGCTCATGACAAAAGATGAACTCCTCAGCCTCCTACCAGAGGGTATGAAAGCAGATGTGGTGGGACGGCTTTTTTTGTAGTTTTCCTCACACATCTGTCTGTGTAAATATCTGCTGTAGTAGCCTGTACTTCTGGGACCGTCTTTCCAGCAACGATCCCAGAGCTTCATAATAACAAACCGTTCAGATCACAATGACAGAGTAAGATGACTCACACAAGGATCATTATATAACCAAGTATGACACACATCTTTCCCTTGACTGTGGCCCCACAAGGCTGGAGTCTCAGCTTCATCATTTACTGTCTGTTTCATTAAAAAAGGATCCAGTGAGATCTGTTGGATGTTTTTTGTTCATTTGAAGTTTGATTTAAATCATTTAGAACCTGGTGAAGACCAGATCAGTTTGATTTGGTCCTAAAGCCCCGGAACAGAAGGAGAGTGAACTTTGTATTTGTCGAGGCTGGTTCTGATGACTGTCCTTTACCTGGATGTGTTTCAGTCATTTCTGATATTTGGCCTCAGATCGTTCTAATCTGGTCTCTTCCGTGTAAACTGAATATGTGGAGGATTTAGTTTGTTGATCAGATGCATGATTTATATATTCTAATAAGTACAGCTGCTGTTGTAAAAGTAGTGTTGAGCTGCCGCCCTGCTGACCGCAGCAATCTGCTGAAGGGAAGCTGGACTTCATTAAAGGAAGTAGAAACTGTCCTCACTGTGGCTGCACCACTTCCCACTTTCTGACTTTAATTCACTCGCTGACTTCATTCCCTCCTCCTGAAGCAGTTTTTATTTTAAACAACTGTTTACTGAACGGCAGCGACTGCACAGCGTTTGATGGAGGACGGACACGTTTCCACTGCAGCAGCAGACCGGTGCGTTGACGTAAGAACGACTGAGTGTATCTGTAGGCGAGTGTATTTATCACTGCAGCACAAATGACCGAAGCCGTTCCAGGGAAAGAAACTAATGATTGTTTACATGTGCCTCTCTGTTCCTGTTACAGCACTGAACCTGATCGTGTGCCTCCATCATTGCTTGTTTAGTAGATTTTAATTAATAAGACAGGCAGGAATGCAGAGTAAAAAGCGAGTCTCACACAAACACTTGTATTAAAACTCGACCCTTGAGTTGCTTAAGCTCGAACAGTCGAGCAAATTCATTTTTCTGTTTCTGCAGTGGTTTTTGGAGGAGATGTGACAAGTTGAAAGGATACAATGAAAGTTAATGGAAGTTTGGGTGTGTGACCTTTGACCTCAGAAGAAGATTTGTGGGGAAACCATCTGAAGCAGTGAGAGGCACACTGGATGGAAGAAGACAAAAATACTGAATACTGGATAGAGTGAAGTATTGTAGGAGTGAGAAAAGTTTGTTAAAAAGCTGTAAAGTCCTGACAGCTGAGGACTTCATGAGGTCATCAGACCACAGGTTGAACATTCTGAGCTCAAATCCTCCATGGTCACCTGTGATTGTGTAAAAACAGTTACAGCAGCTCACTTATGGGATGTTAACGATCACTGTTCCTGATTGAGACACATTTGGATCAATTTTTGGCAAAGATTCAAATCCTTCTGACTCCAGAAGGACAACTTTAAATTCTGACAGGGAGTCGATGGAGAGAAGCTGAAGCTCTCAGCCGAACTTTGGATCAGCTGAAGACTTTTTCAAAAGTTCTTGACACCCAGATAATAAAAAACACAACAGTCCAGTCAGATAAAAGTCTGAAAACTTAAGACAAAAACTGAATCTCTGATGGACGATAAATCCTACAATCCTGACTGAAAGATTTCAGCTGCTGCTTCTCGGCCTGTTGTTCTGGGAATATGAACGTTTAGATAATTATCAAATAATAACCATCCTCCTGTTGTAGCCAGGTTTCTGTCAGACAAAATAAATTACGATGACCAGTTATTCAATCATTAACTAACAGAGACTAATAGGAGAGAGAACATTTGTTCAAAAGTCCAGAGTTAATAGTTTTATTTTCTGTTCTGGTAAAGTAACCATGTTTATTTTCACAAGCTGATTTATTTAAGAGTCACCGTGTGGTGTCAGAGGGTACACTGTACTAAAGTCTCATGGATTTTCTGAACCTTTGTAACTTTTAAACTAAACTTTATACCACTACCCTGAAAAGTAGATGAGCATATAGTTGCTTTGTGTGTGTGTTGGGGTGGTGGTGGTGGGGGGGGATCTTTTCTTAGCACATTATCTTGTAAGCAATGGATTTTTTTTTAAGCTTACGGAAGGAATTCATTGGACAAACATTTACAACTGGTTACCATTCATAGTCAACCGAATTCAAGATGACCGCCACAGTTTATCTCTTAATAAATAAAAGAATGGCCGTAACTCAGCCAGTTTTACAAATGTGGATATAACATTGGTTGTTAGTCAACACTTACTCTGAGTTCTGACGTTAACCATGCTGGTTTTATGTTCAGTTAGAAAGGCTCGGTCCAGGTCCAGTTGGACGTCCAAATGATTTAACAGACCTTTTGAGGCAAGTTTAATGAACTAATCCTTCAGCAGGAGGTCAGATGATCACTTTCTGTTGAGGCTGGAGTTCAGCTCAGTCTGGGATTCTAAGTCTGCACTTCCACTTGGGTGGTTCCACTTCACTCCAACCTCGGGTCCTCTACCAGAGGCCTGTGTTCTGAGGGTACTGTTCCTAGGACCGCTCTCTTCTGGACAGAGATCTTGTTGGGAAATTTTTGGTCAAAGTTCATGGATGTTTCTAACTACTATTACTGAGAATGTTAACTCTGCCCATGAATCATATGTTTGTGTTAGTAGAAAGCTGGATGAGGAGCTGGGTGAGGCTGCAGTGTGCAGCTGTCGGTCCAAGGACGCCTCAGAGTCTGAGCTTGGCTGAACTGATAAGAGAATAAAAACAAGCTGCACACACGGCTCATGGCTGATTCTCATGACTGGACTTCATGCGTGTACTTCCTGTATATCTGTGCAACCTGTCAGCAAAATCTGATCTTGCAAGTAAATACCAGTTAAAAATGTTCTCCTGTCTGAGTGTGGCTCCTTTTGTGTGAGATAAAGCGAGAATATTTTTCTCCAACAGATCTCTGAGGTTGTTCCTGGGATCTGTTGTAGCCACTCTTCCAGTTTGGGGGTCACTGCACCAAGTCCTCCATTGACCACTGAGACTACTTTTGACTCTCCACACCTTCTGTATTTCCTCCTTCAGCTCTTGGCATTTCTCCAGCTGCTCCTTCTTCCTGATGTTACAGTCACTTGGGATTGCTACATGTATCACCACTGCCTTCTTCTTTTGCTTGTTGACCACCACAATGTCCAGTTGGTTATCCTTCACTTGTTTGTTGGTCTGGATCTAGAAGTCCCACAGTACCATAGCCTTCCATTCTCCACCACCCTTGGTGGCATCTCTCACTTAGACTGTGGGACCTCCAGCCCATACTCGGCACAGATGTTCCTGTATATTATTCCAGCCTCTTGGATATGGTGTTCCATGTATGCTTTGCCTGTCTGGATCTTACACCTTGTGTGTAAGATCTTTTAAAGAACAGAAAGGAGAAACAAATCTTTTAAAGTTTTTTTCTCTTTATGAAGAGCAGGATCTTTAAGAGAAAAACATGGTTTTTGTTTTCTGTTTTATTGATTCTTAAATTTTCTCTTTGAGGACTTGAAGTGATGTTTTAAAGTGTTGAAATAACCTTTAAGTTTCCTGGAAACGTTTTCCCATCACGACCTGCTAAATGTCACGTTGCTTCAGCAGCTGGGAGTCTGTTTGTCCCGTAACCATGGAGATGGGAGAGTGTCCGTGCTGATGTTAAAGAAAAGCATCTGAGCGCATCACATGATGCAAGTTGGGTCAGAAAGGTTCTGTTGGACATCTGGACAGCTTAAAGAGGAAAACCTGGGACTTTCATAATAAAGCTAGCATGTTTTCTCAAATGTAAGGGGCTGTCTCCATTTTTATACAAAATGAAGCTTCATTGTTTTTTTGTTTTTACAGTTCTGATTTGTAGGACTGCTGTCAGGTTTTACATCTTTGGTTGTTTGGGAATGATTATTTCTTTTACTCAGTCTGTTTTATATTTTTGTTCCTGTTTACCTGAATCAGCACATTTAGCTTTTAAAAGACTTCTTCTCACAAGTTCTTTTAAAGATGTTTTGGTTTCAGGAGGTGGTCTGACAACAGGAAGCTGTCGGTCTCTGTTAGTCTCTTCTTTCTGAATCATCGTCCTGTGTTTTTGTTCGTTTCAGGGAACGTCCGGCGACCCGGCCTCCTGAGATTCTGTACCCACAGGCCGATGTAGCCGAACGTTTGGCTCTCGGTGGCAGCGATGACGCCCTGGCCAACGGCCTGAAGCCGGACCTGCAGGCCGCCAAACGTCTCGCCAAACGCCTCTACAACCTAGACGGGTTCAAGAAGTCTGATGTCGCTCGAAACCTCAGCAAGAAGTCAGAGTTTGTCTACTTATGTCTTCTTCTGTCCTTTTCTGTCCACTTCTGTCCTTTTTTTGTCAACTTCTGTCCTTTTCTGTCCACGTTTGTCTTTTTCTGTCTTCCTCTGTCAATTTCTGTTCAATTTTTCTGTTCACTTCTGTCCTTCTCAGTCCACTTAAACCAGGAAATAATTATCACCTGCCACCTGTATATGTGTGTATGTCTGTTGGCAAAATATTCCATGGACAAACTTTAATGAAACTTTCCACCAGATGTTATGACTCATTAATAATGAAGTCAGTGCAGTTCAAGATGGCCGCTTCAGCCAGCTGATTAAACTCAGTCAGATGTTCAGACCTGAGCTAAGACTTTGTGTGGTAGTAGCTCTGAGTCATTCACAACACAAACTCCGAGTGCGACTCGTCCAACAAGATCTTTGGAAAAAAGCTGGAGTCAAAATATTCAGCCTGTTAGTAAAATATCTCACAAGTTACCGGATAGATTTAGGACCGATGTAGTTGAATTACTCTTTGAGCTCTTAAAACAGTAAAAACTCTTTTTACTCACTCAAACTTTGAAAACAAAACAAATCAAATGAATTAAAGATGAAACAATCTGAAAGTGTTAAAGTGGAAACCACACAAAAGAACATTCTGATGCCAAACTAAAATATAAATACTTATTTGTAACATTAACATTTAGAAGAAGAAGAGATCAGGATTTTGTTGTCTGTTTTAGTAAAAGATGTAAAATAAAACTTCTGAACTTTAACGTGAACCTTGTTTACGCTTGTTGTGTCTCTGCAGTAACGACTTCAGCCAGCTGGTGGCGCAGGAGTACCTGAGTCACTTTAACTTCACGGGTCTGAGCCTGGACCAGGCGCTCAGGTCACACTTCCTGTTGTTCTTCTTGTCTTCACACATCAAAGATGTTTGGCAAACCTTTATTTTGAAAGAGTCCTGGAATGTTCACATTGTTTCCTCATGTTGTTTGTTTGTTTGTTTGTGTGTTCAGGTTGTTTCTAACGCAGTTCGCTCTGATGGGAGAAACTCAGGAGAGAGAACGAGTCCTTGCACAGTTCTCCCAGAGGTACAGACAGTGTAACCCTGAGAGCCTGTCCACTGAAGGTAACGTCTCACCTGTCTCTCACCTGTGTGTGTCTCAGCTGCCCATGTCTCACCCGTGTCTCCATCTCTCAGACAGTGTCCACACTCTGACTTGTGCCATCATGCTGCTGAACACAGACCTTCATGGAAATGTGAGTCTCACTTTGTCTTTATAAATTCTTCCTGATATAACTTTTATTTTGTTGAGATTTATCGTCCGTTCAGAGGAGAGTCCTGGACTCAGAGACAGCAGCTTGAAACGTGGAAGCCTGAAGCTCATGCACAGAAACAACAAGGTTAAAGGTCACAGTAAAGTCTCCTAGGATTAAAAACTGAACGGAGTCACATGATGTTCTCCATTTGTTCTCAGATTCATTCACAGAAATCACTGGTCAAACCTTTAGAGCCAGGTTTGTTTTGAAACAAAGCTTAAGTGAACTAGAGAAATTGCATTTCCTGTGAAAATTCAGTGTGAATGCTTATTGCAGAAGAACTTGCTGAAAAACAGCTGAAATTAGATGAAAAAATATGCTAAAATCTATCTGAACTGGAAGAACAAGCAGCAGAAGAGAGCAGAAAGAACAGCTATTTGCTGAATTTGGCTTAAATAAGCAGAAATGAGCACAAAAATGAGGAAATTGGCCAAAAAAAATCTGAAATTGAAAAAAAAAAAGATGAAAAGTAACTGAAAGGCAGAAAGATATTTAAACTACCAGAAGGAAGTGAAAAGAGTTGAAATGAGCGCAACAAATGTGGAATTAGCTGAAAAAGCTAAAATTAGCATAAAAACAGCTGATACATCAGAAAAGGCTGAAACTAGCAGAAAAAAGCTGAAAGAAGCACAACAAACTGAAATTAGCATAAATAAGTTAATTAGGCTGAATGTAGCAGAAATTACCATGAAAAGCTTAAATTTATCTGAAAACAGCTGAAATGTAGCTGAAATGGAAAAACAAGCCTTAGCATAAGAAAGCAGAAAGAACACACATTTGCTGAAATCTGCAGAAATGGGCACAAAAATAAGGAAATCAGCCAATAAATAACATGAAATTAGTAAAAATAGCTAAAAAAATTAAGGCAGAAAGAAGCTTAAACAACCAGACAAAAGCAGAAAGAGCTGAAATGAGCTAAAGAATGTTGAATTAGTTGATTTAGCTAAATTTAGCATAAAATTGATAAATAGTAGCCGAAATAGCAGAAAAAGCTAAAACTGGCAACAACAACAAAAAAAGGCTGAAAGTAGCATAACAAGCTGAAATTAGCATAAAGAAGTGAATTAGGCTGAAAGTACCAGAAATTACCACGAAAAACTTGAATTTATCTGAAAACAGTTGAAATCACCTAAATAAAACATGCAAAAATGTAGCTGAAATAGAAGAACAAGCCTAAAACAGCAGAAAAAAAGCAAACAACACATATTTGCTGAATTAGGTTTATATAAGCAGAAATGGGCACAAAAAATAGCAAATAAGCTAAAAAAAATACTCCAAAATTAGTTTAAAAAATAGCTAAAAGAGCAGAAAGTAGCTTAAACTATCATAAGGAAGCAGAAAGAGCTGAAATGAGCTAAAAATGTGGAATAAGCTGATAAGGCTAACATTAGCATAAAACAGCTAAATAGTAGCTGAAATAGCAGAAAAGGCTGAAAGGAGCATAAAGAAGTTAATTTGTCTGAAAGTAGCAGAAATTACCACAAAAAATTTGAATTTATCTGAAAACAACTGAAATTAGCTTAAAAATGCTAAAATGATAGAACAAGCTTAAATTAGCAGAAGAAAGCAGAAACATGTTTGCCCAATTATTCTGAAAGAAGTAGAACTGAGCACAGAAACTGGAAATTATCTGAAAAAAGCTTTTCACAAAGATGGCCTCCTTTACTCCTCTCAAACCATCGTTCCTCTCTATCCAGACTGGTTCATCCCAAAGATCCAGTCCCCTGGCACAAACAGAGTAATATTCTGTATGTTGTTCAGTGTCAGGAGGGTGATCAGTCTTACAACGGGGAAACTAAACAGCCACTGGCCAAAAGGATGGCCCAGCACAGAAGATCAACATCATCAGGCCAGGACTCTGCGGTCTACACTCATCTCCAGGCCAGCGGT